CGAAGGGGAGCATCTTCAGGTTGGTGGAGGCATTCGCGACGTGCCACAAGAGGGAGGCAAGTTTCTTGCCGGTACAAGACGACAACCACGCGGTTAGTCATCAAGGCCCGGAGATTGTCCCCGTGGACGGCGACCCGACCGGTTGACCAAAACCACAAGCTTCTCTCTTTCTCACACTCGCTGTATTTCCCTCCACTTTTATCTCCCACTCTTCCTCCTCCTCCTTCTTCTTCTTCTTCTTCTTCTTTTATTCTTCTCTTCTTCTTCTACATGTTCTCTCTCTTTTTCTCTCTCAGTTCTGTCTCGTCGTCTCGAAGCCGATCCCCTTCGTCGTCGTCGTCGTCGTCGTCGTTGTCGTCGTCGTAGTTGTCGTCTTCTTCTTCTTCGTTCTCTTTACCCTCCCTGTTGCCTCTTTGCCGGTGTTGCTGTTGCTGTCGGTTGTCTCTCGACTCGCGATCGAGTAACCTTAGAAAGTCCACTGGGTATTGGGAGGGTTATTCTGTTTCCATCGACCAAACTTGTTGCTCAAGTATACGCGGATGGTTTCCGAGGCGGTCGAACTGTTTCTCACTCTTTCTCTTTCTCTGTCTCTCTCTGTCTCTCTTTCTTTCTTTCTGTTATATACCGCACACCAAAGGACTTATAAGACTGTTGCAAATCATGAACGACTTGTGGGCTCTCTTTGTGACTCTTTGCACGATTATTTTTCGATACCGATGGTTATCGATTTCAATCGAGAATCGTCGTATCGTAATAATATTCAAATGAAATTTTCTCATTTTTAAACGAATGGGGGAAGAATGTTTAAGTGTTAATAATAATTAAAACGAGTGAATTATTTTTCTCTCTCAAGATAATATTTAAAATAATAAAACTCGGTGGAAATGTATTTGTTATTTAATAAGACACAATATATGTATTATATTTAGGTATAGGTATTATAATATAACACGATTATTTCGCCACTCATTGTGCTGATTTTTGTTCGAATGAATGAACGGTGTACTTATGTCGGAGCTCGTTTACTTCGTACATTCTAACCCGCCTACACGTGAGCACGATGCATGCGTACTCTCCTCGTTGGGTTACCATGTATTTGCATTGTAACGAATTACATTGACCAGTGATCCGAAACGTACGACACGCGAGCGCACGGTAAAAGTAGATAGAAAAAAAATCATCTAAATAATCAATACCCCGTGACGCTGAAGGACACATCCGTGACAAGAGGCTACGTAGTTCAGTTCACGTAGTACCACCCAGTTGTTCTTTTCTTTCTTCGATCTAATGAAAACAAAAAAAATCAGATAACCTAGCTCGAAATGTTTATTACGTCGAATGGAAATTACGAGATTGAGCGCGAACAAACAAAACTATAAATAAAAAAATAGGCAAAAGAATAATGCAAGAAAAATGTTTTTATATAAAAAGGTGCAAATTTAACAGGAAAACCCTACCGCGTTACGCCGTAAATCATATACTCATTGACGGTCCTTTCGGTGGACGTATAAAATTTATTCAACGGATACTCGAGAAGCATACTCGTTGGAGTTATTTCCTCGGGCATATGGCAATGCGCGTACAACGACGGCATTGGTTTTATCGTACCGGTCTCTTCGAATAGTCACTCTCGTTGTTGGAATATGAAACCAACCGCACGCGCGCGCATAACTCGAGTGTTTTATCGCAACCTCACCATCACCGCAGACTGCGCCTTCGGCCATGCTCTCGTCGGGTTGTTTTTGCTACGATGTGACTCGCACTTCGCTAAGGGCGACAAAGCCGAGGCGTTAATCCGATACACGTATTATACAAGTATGTATACGCGACGCAGTTGTGTGTTTCCCTCTCTATCTCTGTTTCTTTTACTTAAAGAAGGTAGGTAGGTAGGTAGGTAGGTAGGTAGATAGGTAGGTAGGTAGGTAGGTAGGTAGGTAGGTAGGTAGGTAGGTAGGTAGGTAGGTAGGTAGGTAGGTAGGTAGGTAGGTAGGTAAGTAAGTAAGTAAGTAAGTAAGTAAGTAAGTAAGTAAGTAAGTAAGTAAGTAAGTAAGTAAGTAAGTAAGTAAGTAAGTAAGTAAGTAAGT